TGAACCGCCAAAGAAATTTAAGAAAGAATTTAAAAAAGATTATTTAAGCATAAATAAATATGTAAGTTGACTACAAAGGCGGTTGCCTTTGGGCGGCAGAATTTGTTCTCTGATATTTTATATCTCTTGTAATTCTATGCATTACAACAAACACAAATTGTAGAGCAAGCAGCAAACATGCCATTCCATCTTGTATTTCAAGCTTCGTGTACCACTGTGCCACTGTGCCGGTGCCTGTGCCCCTGTCCAGCGGACTTGTTTTGTACATATCTGCTTGCAACAATATTTGGTTGCCAACTTTGCGCAATGTATCAACAGCGTTTAGGCTGTGTTGCAGCAGCAACATCGGCAGCAGCAGCAGCAGCTTCTCCTGATTCTGATTCTGCTTCTGCGGTTACTTCTGGGTTCCGGGCTATCGTTTTGAGTTTTGCCTTTGCCTGTGTTTGTGTTTGCTCTTGGGCTGGAGTTGGAGCCATGAGGCTGGGACTGTGTCTCACTTTTTGGTAAATATGTGTATGTAATGGACAGAGGGATAGCCGGCGAGGGCCCTTGGCTAGCAGTAGAAGCCCAGGCCGGCCCTGCCTGCTGCCACATCCTTTGGCTTAGTTAACTATGCAGTCAGCCGCCTTTCGTGTGTTTTGCCTGTTGTCTCGCTATCAGAGATATTGCCAGAAGCTTGCCTTAGCATTGCCCCTGTTGCCCATCCCCCTCGCTGACCACTGTCTCGCTCGTTTACCTCTTTTGTGTTGTTGGTGGTATTGGCCAACACAGAGAGGAGATGGAGATCCACAAAGTCATCAGCATCATCGCGTCTACATCGTTTGCAATCATCCTTTGGCTACAGTGCACCCCAGAGGGGACAGCTGTTTAACTGTTTTCCATATCCACCCGCTAGCTCCAGCTCTGTCTCGCTCCCTCTGACTGTTTGGTATGCAAACAGTGCTGCCAACTTAATGAAATTGAAATGAGCAAATTAGACAACGTTTGTGCAATGTGCAATCAGGGATTTTGCAATGATATACATAGTAGGGCCAAGGGAGTAAAGGCGACTACGGGGAGAGAGTGAGACAGAGAGATACTGTAAGAATCGCAGGGAGAATTCTTCAAAGAAAGAATTACGCATAAAACAGACCCTCCATTTATGTGCATTCCCCTTTTCATACAGAAAAAAATAAAAGAAACCAAATGAATCAGACAGAAGAAAAAACTGCACTTCTTTCTACATATCTCCCCAAACAAAATCATTTGAGACTGCATTTTTCTGCACTAGCCAAAGTACCGCCCTATAAATCTCTCATCTCAATTTCTTAACTTAACAGCAGAGCAGCAGCAGCAGCAGCTGCCACATGGAAAAACTAGTCTAGCCATTAGGACAGTCTACCAATAAAAAATTGAAGAAAAAAAACTACCATGCAACTCCCACAAATCGAGCAAATAGAAGTAGCAATGTGGAAAGAGAAAGGTGAAAGGAGAAAGAAGCTAACTCACATGTCATGGAGTTTATTCCCAGTCTCCAGGAGACCGACACATACCGATAGATACAAACGACTTCATGACGATACAAAGAGAAGCACGAACCATGACGATGAAGGATGGAAGGAAAGGCAAGCAAGGATATCAGAGTTTTCTTCTTTCTTTTTTTTCCAACTGTCTGCATCCAATTCAATGATGGCATTGGCTTCCAGCAAATTGATGAATGGCCAATGGCCCTGTGACTCAAGTGGCAACAGTTTAGAGCCAAGATAGAAAATAGAAGAGGCAGAGAAGAGACCCGGGCAATGGCATTTTCCTCACTCAAGTGGTACAGAGCCAACGCTCATTAGTTGAACTCTTCTTCTGCTGCTGCTTCTGCTGTTGCTGCTGAGTCGTTCCTTTGTTTATTGAAACTTTAGCATAAGACAAAAATTAAGCAGCTCATAAAAATTTATGGTAATTTCGTTTAGAGCCACGGTGCTGCAATCTGTGGGGACGCGACGACTGCATGCGTAATGAGGTAAACATAAACTCTCCCCTCTTTGTCCCTTTGGAAACTCATTAAAACATCACGAACAAATCAAAAATTTAAATAATGATTAACGCCAGCAAAACACAAACAGGCAGCCCTCTCTTCCGCAAGGGGAACAGTCCATCCACCCACAGCCACATTGAAGCGCAGTCTTCATGCAACAATTAAGAATTTCCACGAAAGATGCTGTGAAAATGCAGTGTGTAAACATTTAAAGCAAACAACAAAATGCTGTAGTTTTCCCGACATGCATTCAGTCAGTCAGCGGGGAGACATCGCGTCGTATGAGCAACCGTCGAGCAATTTCTGTTGATTTATTTGTATTTATTTTCCAGTCAATATAAACTATGTGAATTTCTACTGTACATAAAGAGAGGCAACAACGAACCTGAAAACGGAGTTCGAAATGGAATTGGAAGCAGCGCACGAACCGAATCGTTTCAATAGGATTTTCCCGGAAAATGCAAAGCCAAAGAGTTTTGTAAATAAACAAAACTTTGAAATACATTCCAGGGCTCTAATCTTTCTATGGAAAAAGTCATCGTCGTTGGTGGAGATTTCTCTATTGATTAGAGTCTTTTGGGTATAAACGATTGATGGCTTCTTCTTTTTCTTGTCGGGGGATAATCATTTGACGAACTCAAAGAAAACTTTTGAAAGGGAATTTATGTTGGAGAGAAACAGTTCGTTATTGAGAAAAAAGTTGGGGGTTGGATTAAAAAAAAAATATGTTCTTGAAAGCATAAAGATTAATCAGAATATTAGAAATTTGAGTTGTGAAAAAGAAAGATATGATTGAGTTATCTTTCTCAAAGAGACAACAGTATCTACTCTATTACTAGACTATTAAAATTAAAAACACTTTAAAATGAGGAGGTATATAATATTAATTTGGTAAGATATACATATATTAAATCTAAATATGAAAATATTTAATTTAATTATGAAATATGCATATTTGCAGATTAATGACAAAATGTAACACTTTCCAAGGCAGCTGGGTATGTTTGTTAATATTCTATGAAGCAGAAACCTCTACTCTAACAGAGTCAATAAAATCCCTGCAACTTCCTTTCATTATTTTCCCCCCATCCCTGGCATGGCTCCCCATTGGGATTCCTGTAATTTCCAGACAACATTTTGTTGCATATTTACACACAAAAATAGTTGTAAATATAAATTGCAACATTCATTAATCTCTGGCGCGCTCCCCAAAAAACCACCAGGCAATAGTTTTTGGCTAAGCATTAAAATTCCTGGTGCTGTGTAATCTACTAGAAACACGTTACCTGCCAAAACTTAAACTTGCAACACACACAAACTAAAGCTAGCACTAACACTGTTACAGATCTAATCTAAAGCCCTGCCTGTGGGGGATTCCCCCTTTTCAAAGTCATTTGCCAAAAGCTGAGCAGCAGCAGCTCATCAACACCTTTAGTCGGCTATTTTTCAACCAAAGGCGATAATATGGCCACACAAGCTGAACTGGAGGTGGCATACACGGCAAGAGAGGGATGCAAAGAGAGAGGGTGAGAGATAGAGGCAAATACGCAAAAGCCCGAACGAGCGACGTGCACACTAAATCCACTTAAATTAATTGCAAAAGGTGATTACGTTGCTGTTTTGCCTGTGGATGGTGCGGACTTTTTGCCTGGCAGCAAACAGACAGCCAGCAGACAGCTGAGAAATGAAGCCACCACACCAACCCACCCATCCCACTCTCCCTGCCACGCAGGATATCAAGAAGCTGCAGCAAGAGGCAGCGAGGAGCAAACGTCGCCATTTCTCTAATGCCAGCGGGCAATGGCAAACACTCGACGACAGGCTGCAAGGCTCTCCTGGATAGATATTTGCAGCCAAGTCCTTGGTCCTTGGCTCCTAGCTCCCAGCTCCAAGCTCCGCTACCGTCTCCTACGCTGCCAAGTGTTTGCGCATATCCTGGAAATGTTGCAGGTGGAGGGTAGAGTGGCAGTGTTGGCAGTGGCAGTGGCGGCTGTCTCTTCATTTTTGCAAAGTAATTTGCAAAAGAGCCCAGCGAAGGACCAGTGCGGGACACAGGACGCACAGCACAGAGCTCACAGTGAAGACAGTGGAAAATTTGTGGAGGGTAGGGAAAAAGAGAGGTGGTGGGGATAACAGAAAGCAAGTGCCGCCAAAATGCAGTCAAGGATAAAACGGGTAAAGGCACACAGGATATGCACTGGGATACCAATAAGAGGAGATGAAGGCGGAATACCTGCTCAAGGGCCATCACCCTTCTACAATCTTTCCTTGCACCTTCCACTCTTTCTCTGTTTTACCTCTCACTGTTCTACTGCTCTTCCACCTCTTGTTCTCTCCCTCTCTCTCTCTCTCTCCTTTCCTGCTTTATCCCTCGCTCGCTGTTTTTTGCGCGACAAGGTGTTAAGGTGTCCCGATGTCGTTATATGTCGTCATCTGCATTTGCGTGCTCGCGCTTATGCGTGCACATAAATTACGAACAGAGAAGAATATAAACACACATAAATACACAGATGTTTCATTTAACATTTTTTATGGAAATTTTCAAATTACAAATGTTTCAAATTATGTTGATATTATTATTTTATGTGATTCCTCTCTTTTATTGGTTTTTTACTAATTAAATTTGGTGTTAGATGTTATATCCTCCCGAAAGTTACCTTACAGTTTTGTGGCACGCATAAACATGTTTCGTTAGTTCCGTTGCCACGTTACTGGCTCTCTTTCCATGTGGTATATGTTGCTGTGTGCTTAAAATGCCATTAAAGCACGGCCAGGAAAGGGCGTGAGACAACAAGGAAGTCCTGGACCAGACCACACGGCCAATCCAAGGATCTGGGCTGGCTGGCTGGCTGGCTGGCTGTCTGGCAAATTTACGTATTCCCCACTCGACGACAGCCTTCACATAAAGACCATCGAAGATGTCTTCGACTTTCAGTTCGGCATCGGCATCGGCAACGCAGATAAAAGTCAAAGACAAGGAGCCACTTTCCGCCATCGCCATCGCCATTCCATATCCTTAATCAGCGCGTCGCCAGTCCCGCCACCGAAAAGCTTTCCCTGGGCGATGATTCCTTTCGGTTTTTATAGGTGGGTAGGGGAAATTTATTGATAATTGATTATTGCTTCGTTAGGTCGCATTTAAGGCGGCATTTTGTGTGGTTTCCTTACTTGTTTGTTGTTGCAAATTGAAAATGCAAATTGCCCAGATGATTGCTCCACCGGATTTCTCCTGCCCCCCTCCCGTTCGCCGTTATCCATGCTCCTCCAACTCCCAGTGCTCCCGCCCAGAGCCGCTCCTCACGATTGCAGTTTGGTGCCTTTTGATGTTTTGCCGGCACTTCCTTTGGGGAAAAACAAATTTTCATAAATTTTTAAAACAAACACACGAGCTGGAAAGAAAAGAAAAACTGCGGCTGTGGCAAAGAAAGAGACAAAGCTCCGACTGCGGAAAAGAAAGCAAAAGCTGAGTTTCGTGTTGAAGCAGGGGGGTGGGGGAGGCCATGGAGTTTGGTTTTTTACGCCATTTTGTGGGGAGACGGGGGAGCGTACCCTGTAATAAAAAGAATGTTTGCGGGGTTACGAATTAAGAATTTTGCTACTAGAATTTGTTCAGCTTTCATTGGTGGTACAGGGTATGCCCATTGTCCATCAATCTCTATGTACAGAAAATATGTGACATGACCTGGGAAAAAATTTGTAGAGTGTCAGTGTAGAGTGCTACCCATCTCATTCGAATATCTCTTTCCTTGCCCTATCCAGCCCAAACTGCTCCCCAGGGTATGCCCATTGTCTATCAATCTCCAGCATAAACAATATAGTATATGTATACAATTTTTTTCTAGCCGAGCCTTTGTTGTTTTGGGAGGACGTAGGACGTGCCTATGTGCATTGCTTTTGCTCACCTTTTGAGCTTTTAAATTATTTTCCAAGCACGTAGCTTCTGTCGGCTGTTTGCGTATTTAAGCATGGCCCAATGGGTGGTGTGGGGAGCCAGCGGGGATGGGTGTCAAGGAGTGTAAGAAGCGCGTAGATGGCAGCGATGGCGGCATTTGCTTTGCATTTTCCTTTAAAAGGATTTGCGCAATTTGCGTTTTTTGTCGAAGGGTGTGGGGAGGGTTTTGGGGGGAATTCGCTGGGACTGGGTACGGGTAAGGGGTACGGGGTACGGGTTGTTGACAGACAACACACAGGCGTTGAGTGACGAAGGAACGAAGGCAGGCAGGCAGGCAGGACCTAGGACATGAGGCAGTGGCAGTGGCAGTGGCGGCGGTGGTGGCGTCGGCGAGCTTTGTGTTTGACAATGTCCTTGCTGATGTCGCGCTCTACCCGCCCCGCTATCTATCACCCCGTACGTGACTTGCATTTCATTTTTTCTTTTGCACCCAGAGACCCCAAAACAGCGCCCAGAAATGCGGGGAAACTCGTTAGTAATTTACCAAAGAGAGACACAGATACAGTCGTAGGCGCGGAGGATATGGCCAGAGACCAGGAAAAAAGTTGCACGTTTCCAAAGCAATCAAACGCTCGTCTATATTCATATGGGGAAAAACACTTGTGCGTGTGTGTGTGTGTGAGTGTGAAGGCGCAGAGAAAACTAAAAATACAAATCCCCGAAAAGAATCTGATCTGCTATTTTCCAACTGCAAATAATTCCATCAACAGTTGGTAGGGGAATCGACACACCAAAAAAAAAAAAAAAACAAAAAACCCGGAACGGCAAGGGCAACGATTGATAGCCACTTGAAGAGAAGGCTGGCACTGGCTATGCCTCTACTGTCAGCTACACTCAAAGAAAATTCGAAATTTACAAAAACAAAACACTACCGAACATTCGATACTCACTTGAGAAAATTCAGGCGAAGTCTGTAGCCAGTCGACAACTCCTGACAAGCAGAAGAAGCGGACTCGTTGTTGGTGCAAGCTCCAGTCGCGCAAAATTGGAGACTAAACCAAAAAAAAATGCAGAGTTATTGCCGCATCCAGCTGACGGGAACCGGCTTCATCTGAGGCGAGATGTTTAGCTTCAAAGCCCTTGTGGAAGCTTAGGGGAGACGCCCAAGAGTCGATGAAGGCGAAAACCCCGAGCAAGTTCCAATTGCTAGGTTGAAGCTAAAGACTGGGGAGTAGACGACGTCGAAGACTTCGATCAAACACGAGATTAAAGCCGAAGCCTGACAAAGAGAAGCTTCGGAAGAGCTGCACTCTCTGGCAACGAACAGACTCTTTGGTAGACTGCCGAAATCCTTTTGAGATGTTGAAGTGCAACACTGAAAATTATAAACATTAAAGAATTTTCGGACTTACATTTGCATCCAATATGTTTCCTTAAACTCTTCTTCGTTTGTCGCTGTGTATGCACCTACACTGCACACATTGCATCCAAAATAGAAAAGAACAGAGCGCATTGGGCGGGCGTTTGGGCACAGTGGGACACATAGACACTTATAGTAGAGAACGGAGTTCCTGCAGTTGAAAATCCCAGCATGTGCCCCTCTCCAAAAACTGCTGCTGTGTTGGTGGGGGGTGGGAAGAAGGAAGGCCTCTGGTTAGGGTTTTTGGGAGGCTTTTTCGTTGTGGGGTTTATTCAATCCTTAATGGCCTCAGTCGCAGTCGCAGTTGCAGCAGCCAACGAAAGAGTTATTGAAAATGTTTTATTGTGTGCATTTGATTGCTGTAAGTGTTGAGGTCGGTCTCTCTCCCATCGATTCCAGTCTAACTTATAAATATTTCAATAACATTTGAAGTGCGCCTGCCTGCTGGATAGCTGCCTGGCTTCCCCCTCCACCGAAATGTAAATGCACTTTCCATTGTGTGCGGGTGTCTAGTGCTTTGGCACTCCAGACCATAGGGACCGAGCGGCCATGGCACTTGCCATATTTGGATAACCAATCCAAAAATCACAAAAAATACTTACATAGACCAAAATGCAATCGGCTGGCAGCGAGGTTTATGCGTTTTGAATTTCGATATTTTGTTGTTACGAAATGAAGTGTTCTCACTTTGAAGTAAAAGTAAAAGGGATAAGCGATTGAATGTTAGGAAAAATTAATTTGAAAAATGTCAGCTTAAACAGGGGAATATTTTCATACTTTTAGTTCTTAAAAAATATAAATTATTAAGTGGGGAAAATAGCTATATAAAATTTAGTTATTTTTCATAATTTGTTTTTAATTTAAAATTTATTTCAATAACAAAATTGAATAAAAATCACAGCTATACCTAATTCCATTAATAAGACCAAAAACCACAAATCTATCTGGTTTCCTATAAACTTTTGCTTGATTTTTTATTGCTGATATCATGATTGTGCGTGCCGCATAAACGGACACCTCACATCCGCGTAGAGGGCCCCTCTTTGGTCCAATGTGTGTGTGAGCATTTGTTAGATGAATTCTATGGCACGTTTCGATATGGGCTCGATATGGGCAAACACTTGTATGTGTGTGTGTGTGTGTGTGTGGGGAGAGTGAGAGAGAGAGGTTTAAAAACTTTCCATAGAGTTTTCACCCTTCCCTCTCTGCGAACACACGTCGAAGCCTTTGGGCCTGGCCTAGAAAAGTTTAACTCAATTACGAGTCGAGTCTCGACACACGTGACTAACTTGGGCGATTCTGTATCGGATGAGAGGTCGAAAGTGGGTTTTAGGAGAGTGACCCGCTTAGCCGGCCAGGCGAGAAGCTGGAGCTGGCCGAAGAAGCATTAAGCAGGTCGACAAACACACACACACACACAGAGCGATGCAGGCCAGGCAGCCACCTACAAATCCCCTTTTTCAAAACTCATTAGCACAAATTTGTGCCTTTCAATACGAATGCTCGAAGGAAGGCAGCAGCAGCAAAAGCAGCAGAGAAGGAAGAGCAGTCAGTGGGGCATCGGGGGAAGGCTAATTTGGGCTGGCTGACAAAATTTATGCTGATTGTGGGGCAATTTACGAAAATTCCTTGTGCCTGGGGTGGGGGTGGGAAATTGGCAGAGCAGACCACTCAGCCATTGAATGGACCTAACCCAAGAATACAGAATTTCTGTTTTCCTTTTGTACCACCGAAAGCATAGAGCACTCAGCCTTGAAACAACAAAAATAAAAGCAACGGGAACCCTTTAACCCTTAACCTATTCTATACCTTTTTGTGAGTGTTTTTTTGGAACAAGGTTTGCTTGGAAAAAGTCAATGTAATTCTCAGAAATATATTTGCTCTTTGATGAACGCAGCTTTTGAGGGAATACGCAGATCAAATTCAGATATATCTATATAGAAACTGAGAATGGGGGGTGTCATAGGGTGTGAAACGTTTCCACTGGTTTTGGCCTATGAAGAGGTTCCATGGAATGCTTAATGGGAACTTCTTTTTGATAGATTAATTCAATCTTTAAGTTAAAGTATCTTTATCTTTTAAGTCGAGTATAAGAGTATCTTAAATGTGATATATGTGTATTCATCTCAAACATTTAATCTGATTCCTTACCAAATTTAAAGCTAATTTTTCACTTCTTTGTTTCTCATTGCAGACGGGGCGCTTGGCACTCGCTTGACTTCTGTCTGGTTTATTGAGTGCAGGCACACAGCAGTTGAGACGGTAAGGCAAAAATCTTTAACCTTTTTTTCTGTCTATATATATATGCAAAGTGGCGTTAAATGATTCAGGGGGTTGAGGGAAGCGTGACTCCTCGTGCATAGACTCTCGTAAGACCCCTGAGCTCTGGTCGTCGCTTGGTTTCCGTTTCCGCTTTTGGCTTTCGCTTTTTCATTTCCGCCTAATAAACTACATAATTAAACTGGCAGGCAATGGGATTAAAGGATTCAGCCAGGGCAGGCCAGAGCAGGGCTGGGCTGAGCGGAGCGGAGCGGAGCAGAGCCCTTAAGGACTCAACCAGAACACACACATAAACACACGTACAGGCACTCGAGTATCCCAAGTATCTGAAGTTTCGTGGACGAATTAAGCTAAATTAATTTTTGTTCTTTGCTGTTTTCTGTTGCCACTTAAGTCCCTTCGACTTTTCCTTTCTTTGCCAATGCGAGTGTGTGTGTGTGTGTGCTGTGTCCTGTTCCTCCTCGGGCTTCGTATTAAATTAATGATGTGTTTTATGCTGCTCTTGTAACGAACACAAGACAAGAAAAAAAAACTAGGGAAAAACGAGAAAAAAATCACTGCCAAATGCGATTTAGACGTCAAAAGCGCAACATTAGCAGTAAATAAAATAGGATAATGCGACAAGTCGACCGCAAGGCAAAAAAAAGGGGACAAAAAATTGCAAAAGAAAATTAAGAATGGGGGAAAAGGGAATAACCGACTAGAAGATGAGCTACTTTTTTGGAGCTGGAGAAATCTAAAGAAATTGGTATAATAAGGGTACAGATAATGATGCTGGTCTTTGACTGCTAAGACACACTGGAAGAGAGGGTGGGAGCTGTGCTGGAAAGCGATTTTCTTGAGCGATTGTGGAAGGGCTGTGCTGCCTTGAAAATGGACTTAACCCAGTTGAAACAATTTATCGCCCAAAAGAGTATTTTCTAAGCAGAACAGGGCAGGCAGATGCTGCTGCTGCTGCAATGCAGGAAACGTGGCTAAAGGAGAACTCCTGACAGGCCAAAGGATTATGTGCTCTGAGCCAGCCATTTTTCACAACAAACAAAAGGGTTTAGAGCTGGCACCTGGGACATCAGAAAACTCCTTTCCCTCACTGACTGAACTGACTGAACTGACTGACTGAATGACTCAATCTTTAATCTCAGACGAAGCACAGCCATCGATAAAGACAAACAAAATCGGCTGTACAAATCGGAGAAGCAACCAGAAATCTGTTTGTGGTTCCTGCTTGTCATTTCTCCTGTCTACCCGTCTTACACAAATATTTTGACAAAACGCCTGCTGTTTTCCACATAAATATTTATATTTGTCCCGCCTGCGCCTGCCACACACACACACACACGCACAAAAGGATACATGCAACGAGCAGCAGTCTTATCAAGAGGAATCTTTACCTGCAACACAATGTCTCCGAGTCTCCGAGCAATGAGAGAACATGAGACGGTGTACCAGCAGCAGCATCTCTCCAGGCAGGGCCAGGCATATCTTTGGCATCTCTTTCTCTCCCCCTCTGCCTCTCCCTCTCTTGAGAGTCGCATTAATCTGTCGTGTGCGTATACAAATTCTGTGGGATACTCTGCCTCCTCCCGCCACGGATATCGAAATCGAATCCAGACACACAAAAAAACTGCAGTTAAATAAATTACAAACGCTCTGTCACCCAGCGGTCGCTATAGCTGGAATCTGTGTGGATGTGGCTGTGACTGTGACTGTGGCATTGCAGTTGAGGGTTAAGGTTGCCGGAGAACGGCGTTGCATGTCGCAGTTTTATCGTTGTTCAGGCATCGTCTTGTTCTTGATTTTACTTATATTTCTCGGCTGCTCTGGGTGCTCTCCCTCCTTATCCTGGTCCCCAATCTGTCTGTGCTAATGAAATAAATGCCTGGACAGCAGAGTTGTTCCTCCAAAAAGAGTTCTCAAGTTACTTCAATGCCGACACGACACCCTTCTCCGCCACGAACATGAGCAATCTGTGGGGACTTTGCCCACATGTGGTAAACGTTTTTTCGCTGCTCTCAGCATCGCAGCTTTGCGGCTGATAAAAAAAAGAAAGAAAGAAAAAACAATATACAGAACACAGAAATGAATATTGAAATTATGAGACAGTCATGTGGCCCATAAATTCCTCACTGTGTGTGGGATCCAACATGAAATGAAAAGGGGATTGGGTCACAACATAAAGCAGGGGATTGAGATCCACTAACTGGGGAGAGTGCACAACGCTGGAGAGGGAGAAAGAGAGTAAAGAACTGGAAAGAGGATCTAAATTTCGTTTGAAATTAATTTGTTTTTGGATGAACAAAATATTTACTCCTTGCCTTGGCTACAAGTTAAGAAGAATTAAACGTTACGAAACGTGGCAGAATCTATATATTTTTTCGTATGAAGAAATATACTGAAATATTTCTACCCTATTTGTAATTTTTTCGACGAAAAGAGACCATAACCGATTTGTTTTAGGCATTTTAAAGAGAGCCAGCTCTATGCCAGTGAGCCTTGATCTCCAAAAAGAACTTGAGAAGCAAGTGAGACATCTCCCCCGTTACTGCCAGAGATATTTAGCTGCAAATACTTATGGAAACTGAGTGATTACTGTGTAGCATAATGTCGCAGCACGTCTGCCTCCTCCACTCCCAACGTTTCAACTAGTTTCATCTTCGTTCTGTTTTCTACTTTCTTCGCCTTTCCTTTTACTCTCGAATCGTAATCACACTTCGTAGAGAAACCAATTGACATTGGCCATAAATTTGCCGTCGCAATTTGAACTCCGAATCTGCTTAATTATTAATTTCGCATTTACCGCAAAACGTTTATTGGTCGGTCTGCCTTGCTTCCATCCCCATCCGCTCCATCTCCCCATCCGCCCCCCTACCATTAGTCAGGACAAGCCACAACCACAAGCCCGAAAGCAATCTTCTATCCAGTCGTCGAACTTATTTCCTCAATTGCATAAATCGAACGAGAAAAATTTGTGTTTTGGAGCGTGTCACGAATGAGCAAAACAAAAGTTAACAGAGACGCGACGGAGACGGTGACTGAGACTCCTACTTCTCGGCGTAATTTTGTTCTGCTGCTGGTCTGGTCTGTTGAGACAATGTGACAAGGTCTCTGACTGCCCCATCGAAAGGCGGGAGACACCCTCTATAGAGTCTCTGTTTGTCACCCAAGTCATTTACATGCTCCACTCCGTGTACGTGACTCACATATAGTTATTTGTCGTCCCACAGTTGGGGCATTTCTTTGGGGTCTGACTTGACTTCCATTTGATTTGAGAATAAGAACGAGAACAGAGACGCAGAATGGAGAGTGGAGTGTGGAGTGTGCGGAGAGCAGAGAGACTCCAGTCACGAATAAGCATTGATAAAATATTTAAAATTCATTTCTAGAACCGCTCCCGAACCTGAAACTTTAGCAACGATTACTCATGCCACCAAAAGTGTGTTGCAGCCACACAGTTAACTGTTGTTTGCTGCAATTTCTGCTGCTGCTGCCATACTCGTATCTATCCATATCTATGGTTGCTGCTTTGATTTATGTGCGTGAATGGCCAAGAGAGAGATTGTGGATCGAAGGTGTTTACCCACGGAGTAGGAGGAGGAGGAGGAGGAGAAGGAGGAAGGCATCGGTTTGGCACACACCTGGGGTGGTCACCGTCCCCCACCAAACAGTAGGAAAAAAAACAAACCTTATGGGCGATTGCAGTTTATTAGTTTTGCTATTGAATTACATATCAATGCAGTTCTCAGTGGCCCCCATAAGACTGTTCCCCATATCTTTTATTTTACCCTAAAGCCTTTTGAGCTTCCAGTGAAAGCCAATTGTATGTGTGTGTGTGTTCTCTTTTGATTGCATTGTCATAAATAAAAATGTGAAGGGAATCTATCTCTAGAAAATAAAGCTGTACTAAAGGTATGCCCTCGAACGGCACCTCTTTTTTAGCTCTATCTTCAATTATATTTTTGTTTGCTCTGATCTCCTCTGTTCTAGGCTTGTTCTTTGCTCTCTTTAACCTTTAAAGCCATTTTATTATCATGGATGCCTTCAATACATGTTTGACTTACCTGCAGATTGTTTTATAAAACATTTTCTACACAGTTTGAGTTATCTAGCACCCACCTCTGTATGTATCTGCCAGCTGATAAACTCTCTGATAATATCCCTCTAATAACCAAAGGTTTATCCTGAGTAAATATTGTACAGTTCGTTCATGGTTCTCTGCTACCCTGCTATCATACATATATATAGTATATTTTCTTTATTTATTATTATAAGTACGTAGCACTACTCCCTGATAAACACGGGGCCTGGTCTGCCCTGCCACTCAGCCCCCCACTACTCACTGTAGTGGAAGTTAGAGGTTCGATTCCCATTGTTGATTTTTCTAGATTTCAAGCACTGATTGTGCCGCACATTTTACAACCATACAACCCCATACACCGTCCTACCCTACCCCCTCCTTCTGCCCATCGCAAGGTGTGAAACTATGAGACGGAACTGCACTGCAATTGGATTTGTCGTCTGGGGTCTCTCTTTACCATTTTTTTTTGATCGACAGCTCGCCTAAAACTGTCAACGCGTTTCTTTATTTTTTGTTTCTGTTTCTGTTTCGATTTCGATTTCAGTTTTCTCTTTCCCTTCCTGTGTTTTATGGCGCATTTTTCTTACGATTTTCCAGCGATTTATTTGAGTTTGCTTACTGCCCTGCCGTGCCGTACCGCTTGAATGTTTGCACGGCTGCTCCGCTCCTCCAACTGTGGATTGTAGCCTACAATCGCATTGTGTGTGTTTGTTGTCACCATGTGGCCCCTGCATCGAGGGTTTCTGGATCACTGATCCGACCCCTTTGTGGGCTGTGACTGACGCTTAGATTAAGATTAAGAGCGGCAATTGTCGGCATTTTGGTTTTGCTTTCTTGTGTTCCTTGTCAAAATATGAATACAGATATCATAAATCAGCATTAGGTTACATCTGAAAGATGGAGGGCG